TCTTTGGAAAGCAACCGACATTATTTGGTAACCATACTAGATGTTTACACCTAAATATACATCTTGAAGGGTCTCTTAAACATGTGCATCAGGATTGACATTTCAAAGTTTTTAAAGCTCCTTTTGGTAGCAAATTGCCTTTCAAGACACTAGAACTATGAAGAATGAAAATGTCCATCAAGAGTTTACTAGATAAACATCTGTATAAAATGTAATAATGTATATTAGAGAAAATAAAATAAGTCACTGCTACACAACAACAAAGACAGAGAACAAAAACATACCTAAAACAGACTAAATAACTATTTAGGTCTTCTGCTCATTTTTTGATTAGGTTGTTTGTTTTTTTGACATTGAGCTTCATGAACTGTTTATATATTTTAGAGATTAATCCTGTCAGTTGCTTCATTTGCAAATATTTTCTCCCATTCTGATGACTGTCTTTTTATTTTGTTTATGGTCTCCTTTGTTGTGCAAAAATCTTTTAAGTTTAATTAACTCCCATTTGTTTATTTTGGTTTTTCTTTTCGTTACTCGAGGAGGTTGGTCAAAAAAGATCTTGCTGAGATTTATGTCAAGGAGTGTTCTGCCTAAGTTTTACTCTAAGAGTTTAATACAATGAAATATTACTCAGTCATAAAAATGAATGAATTGGGTCATCTGTAGAGACATGGATGGGCCTAGAGAGTGTCATACAAAGTGAAATAAGTCAGAAAGAGAAAAACAAATATTGTATATTAATATATATATATATTTATGTGGAATCTAAAAAAGATGATATGTTTGGGTGTGTGTGTGTGTGTTAGTCACTCAGTCGTGTCCGACTTTGCGATCCCATGGACTATAGCCCACCAGGCTCCTCTGACCATGGAATTCTCCAGGCAAGAATACTGGAGTGGGTTGCCATTTCCTTCTCTAGGGGATCTTCCCAACCCAGGGATCGAACTCTGGTCTCTTATAGTGCAAGCAGTTTCTTTACCATCTGAGCTACCAGGAAAAAATGGTGTAGATGGTCCTATTGGCAAAGCAGAAATAGACACAGACATAGAAAACACCCAGGAGGAAAGCAAGGAGATGGGAGGAACTGGGAGATCGGATTGATACACATGCACTATTGATACTATGTATAAAACAGACAACAACAATAAGAACAGACTGTCCAGCACAAAGAACTCTACTCAAGGCACTGTGGTTACCTGAGTAGGAAGGAAGCCCAAAAAGGAGGGAATGTATGTACATGTGCAGCTGGTTTATCTTACTGTACAGTAGAAACTACATTATAAAGCAACTGGACTCCAATAAAAATTAACCTAAAAAAAAGACTAAATGAGATTCTTTTCATTTGTTAAATGTTTTAGAAATACAGATACACATAGTAAAACCACTATGACAGCTAAGGAAATTATTAACATAAACTCATGAAAATGGTTTCCTCTGGAATACAGGGATGGACCATGGGGACAGGGATGGACCATGGGGACTTCTTATTGGTAATATTCTATTTCTCAAGCTATACACTAATTTCAACGAATTGTTCTACCTCAGGAGGTAGTGGATTTCCCATCACAGAAGTTTGTTTTGTTTTAAGAAATATCTCACTTCGGTGAGCTATTTACAGACAGAACAAGTACCATATAGGAAATGGACTTGATAACCCTACAAGTATCTTTTAAGATTTCATAATTCCATGTGCATCATAACAAACAGCACAATATGTTGCACATAAAAACCAACAATAATTATAACAAGCATTCACTGGCTACAGATTTTTGGCAGACACTGCTGGTTGCTAACCTACATCCTTACTTCCTTCTCCCTTGCCAGCAGATTTTTAAAAATATTTATTTACTTATTTGGTTGTACCGGGTATTAGTTGCAGCATGCAGGATCTTTAGTTGAGTAATTCAGGCTTTAGCTGCAGCATGTAAACTCTTAGTTGCAACATGTGGGATCTAGTTCCCTGATCAGGGATTGAACTCAGGCCCCCCACATTGTTGGCATGGAGCCTTAACCACTGAACACCTGGGAAACCCTACAAGCAGATTCTGATTTTGTTTATCCTTCCCCCATGTAACTCAGCAGAGAATATTCTAGCCTGTGGAGCATCTTTTATTTAGTCTAAACTCACAGTCCCTTGGTTTAGAGGTAAACATGTAGTCCTGCTTCAGCCAAGTAGACATGAGATAGAATCTACTGAGGGGCACCTGGGAAAGGTTTACTTGTTATTGAGCAGAAGACCCAGAAAAGCACAGACATTCTTTCTTGGGGTGTCGTGATGCTAGGATGAGGATATCCTAATGCAACCATGAGGAAGATCAGTCTCAGTGTAAGGCCACTGGTCCATCATGATTGCACTGAGACAATAAATTAACTAAAGCTGGAGTCTTACTTCTTGACTTGGTAACTAATATGTCACCGTATAGTCTATATTTTCCCACTGAAGTCATATCAACTGACACACCATATGCAGAGTTCACTCATTTAATCTTCACGGGAACACTATGAGCTAAGTATCATTATTAAGTTCACTGAATGGACAATGAAAACAAAACTGAAAGAATTTAAATCAGTTGCTCAAAGTCACACATATAGTGAGTGGCAAATTCTAGGGTGTCTGAGACCAAAACCTACCCTCTGAATGCCCTATCCATTCAAGGCCCATCCATCTTCCTGAGGCTGTGCGGGGTGAAAAGAAAATCCCAACAGATCTGAGGGGTCCATACGTGTGTCTAAGGTACAAGTCAGTGTTGGCGGCTGCAGTATTTATACGGCAGCCAACGCAGATTCTTGGCCTCTGAATCGTGGCTATGATTGTTTGACCTTAAAATCTATAGTCCAGAGGCAGCCTCTAAAACTGTTTTCCTCCAGACATTCCTAAAATTTAATTCCTTGTATTAAATCACTTCCTGCTTTAAGGACCTAAAATTATTAACATGTGCTGAACTGATAAATCCTGACCTCAACAAATAAATAAGTATATTTCAACTTTATTGATTTATATTCATCTGAAGTCCCTAGAAAAATAGTTTTATAGCCCATGTGTAATGAAGTTTTATTTTTAATAAAATGACTATTATCAGATGACTTATTCATCTTCTCTCTCACATCAATACAACTTTTATTAAACTGCTATGAGGATGTTGTGGATATACACTTAAGACAGGTTCTTTATCCTCTTTCCCTCATGACTGGGAACTTAAGCTGTAGACTAGTGACTGGCATCCCTCATGGAACATCTCACTTCTACTCTTAAGTGATTTTCTGGGCAAACTTTTACAAAAAGCATAATGTATTTTTCCTAAGGTTTAGTGTTCTTCTTTATTAAAATCAAATAATGAAAAGTTCTGAAAGGGGAAGAAACATTACATTTATCCTCTAGAATATTTACAAAATATGTATTTGTAAAAGGAAAAGGTATTCTAACTTCATGAAAGCATAATATATCTCTTAATAACTTTAAATATTGTATCAGAAAGTGCAATTTTACATTAAAGAGCCTAGAGCTTATCATTAAAAAGATCTGAGTTAAAATCACATAGAGCTGCTTGATAGTGAGAAAATCCTTGGGTTTTCTGAATTTCTGTTAATTCAGCTGATTCGGAAATGTGATCTTTATACCTATCTCCAAAGTTTACTGTAACATTTTTTAAAAATATACCTTGCATGACAGAGTCTGCTGTAAGAGTTGGTATATAGCAAATACTAAGTAAATGTTGAATTTTCTCTTATATCTTAAACACGCTATGGAATAACTCCATTTCAACCAAAAAAAAAAAAAAAGCTGTAGAAATTCTACATGCCACTAACTTATATCATGCGTGTGCGTACCTAATTGCTAAGTCGTGCCTGACTCTTTGCGATGCCATAGACTATTGTCCACCTGTCCTCTGTCCATGGGAATTCTCCAGGCAACAATACTGGAGTGGGTTGCCATTTCCACCGCCAAGGGATCTTCCTGACCCACATATTGAACCCATGTCTCCTGCGTCTCCTGCACTGACAGGTAGATTCTTTACCATTGAGCCACTTATATCATAAAATCACAGAAAAGTTTCTAAAGAATTAAGTCAAAAGTATTGTGCAGATCAGTGGTGATTAGTCCTGAGACAAGTAGAAAGTAGTTACCCACCACTGAACTTCCCTTTGGAATTTTTCAGCATCTTGACTTTAATTACTTCCCATTCCCACTAATTACCTCCTATTCAACACCCGATACTACAAAATACTTTGGGTATTCCAACAAACAGAAAAGTCGGGGCAGGTAAACCCCTCAAACAGTTTACATTCCTGTAGATTAAAATAATAACTAAATAAGGACTTCCCTGTGGTCCAGTGGCTAAGATCTGGTACTCCCAAAGACTCAATACGGCCAAATAAAAAAAAAAAAAACTAAATAAAACACTGGACAGGTATTTAAGAAACTCATTATATTATCAGTTATGGTGTTGACACTGATCTTCTAAAAAAAATGCTTTAAAAAATTTAATGGTTTATTTAGTATTTAGCAAAATGCAGAAACAGCAATGAAATTAGCCCAGTGAAAACTAAAACCAATATAACAAAAGACTTATGAACACCATTTTACCATTTTTCAGATCAAACAAATTTGGGGGATTTTCATGTTGGCAATGTCCTTTCATTTGGGTATTTTTACTTATTTATAAGGATATTCAATAATGAAAAGAATGATTTATAGGTTAACAATAAAAAAGCCACCATGAACGTTAAAACAAAAGTTCCCCTCTCTTCATAGGTTTAGGCTTACGACCTACTCCTTTTTTCTTCACCTCACTCCATCCTGTTGTTTTGATTCGTGGATTATAAGATTGAGAGTGGGAAGGAGAAAGAGTGAAAAAGGAGGCAGATGGTGTAATGAGAACAATTAACAAGAATTAACCAAAGTACAAGTTTATGTGGATTATCGACTCAGCAAAGGGAAATTTTATGCTGGTTTAAAAGATATTGTTTGGATGATTTCAATTTAGATCTTGAAAACAAACCTCAATTGGCTCTTCACCACCTTTTACTTGATTTTCACCCATTTCTCCATTCTCATAGCTGCTGCTCTTCTCAACCCATAACTCGGATTTCTCTACAGTAAGTCGGAGCTGGTCTAGATCTGCCTTGATCTGTTTGTAGTTATCTACATCCTGATTAGACACCAGCAACTGCACCTGGAAACAGAATTTCAATCCTCAATTTACTTATGGAATTTCATTTATGTCAAAAATCCCAAGTCTTTTAATATATGTGTCCCTCAGTTGAAGTTTAATATTTCTAGGGTATTTATGGATATTTTACATGTATATTGATCATGAAAATTTACCTGAAAGTATCTGCAAATTCTACTTAATATATTCACATGTTATAAGGAATTATACATACAAAAAAGTGAGCCCTAACAATGCTTTTCAAAATGTTAAAGAGTAATTTAAAGTGAAAGATACCCTAACTCTAATTTTACCAATAAAGTTAATTTTTCTGAGACTCCTTGTCTGAAAGAGGTAGAAACATAAAAATAAGTGGAAGAAAATACCCATACAGTCTAAAGCTTAATTTGTATATATTATGTGAATATATGAATAGTTTTATCTATTTCTATAATTACTTTTAATTATTTCATATTTTAACATATTCCTGTAAAATGTCCTAATGAAGATCAATGTTGTATTAAGGAACTATTAGTGAAATACAAGTAAGCCCAGAGATAGTCTTCATTCATGGTCTCAAAATTGGTATCATTCCAAGATGACAAAGAAAAAAGATTAGCTCCATCACAATTCCTCTCTTTTGGATTCATATATTTTTCAATCACAAAACATTTATTTCGGTGTAGTACCCAAACCGATCAGTAAAATTTAGGGTCAGAATAACAGCAGGGGCAACAACATTCCTAATATGGTATTATCCCCCAGTGCCTTCCTAAATCTTAGTGCCTATCACCCACATTAAAGATACTAACTGAAAAATCACTTTCTAAAATAGATCATGTCTTGGCTGCAGACAAGGCCATATCTATCTTTAAAAATAGAAAGTGTCCCCAGGAAAAGCTGCAGTCTCATTAACTCTGCAACCATTAAGTCAGGTTGGATGCTATAAACAACATTTCAGAGCCTCTGTGGGTGGAAGCACTGAAGGCTACTCAATCTCACCTGTTTAAATGCCTGTAAAACTTCCGCTCTCTGGCTGAAGTGCTTGAATAGCAGCTGCAGGGCTCCCGATAGCAGAGGCGGGTAGTCATGCATGATCAGATGAATGAGGACCCGTAAAAACGTCCTGCCTCCTTCGTCATCGAGTTGAACTGGATTTTTCTCCTTTCTGTAAAACCAAAAAATCATTCTAAAAGACTCGTATTTACATAAAATCTAGTCATAAGTGGCTAAAATAGTGTATACATTGTCAGACTTAACACTATTTCCACAATCACCCCTCCACAAAAAATTGTAAATTGCAAAGGAAGACCTTTTTACTTTCTTTGGCCTCATGTTACTAATAAGGGGGCTTCCCAGGGTGGCGCTAGTGATAAAGAATCTGCCTGCCAATGCAGGAGACATAAGAGGCGTGGGTTTGATTCCTGGGTTGGGAAGATCCCCTGGAGAAGGGCATGGCAACCCACTCCATTATTCTGGCCTGGAGAATCCCCAGAAACAGAGGAGTCCGGAGGGCTACAGTCCACAGGGTCACAAAGAGTGGGACACGACTGAAGCGACTTAGCTTGCAGGCACAATTAATGAGGAAATGGAACATAAAGAAAAGCTTGTGACTGTCCATGAAAGGAGGGGTGACCAAAGTCCCAGTCTGTCCTAGACCGAGAGGGTTCCTAAGATGGGAGACTCTCAGTGACTGCAATAGGCAAGTAGCAGGCAAACTGGAATGATCTGGTAATCTAGACACAGACAAAGATAGAATCTGAATCAATCCAGAAGCGTTTATTGAGAAGGCATATCAGCTGGACCCACGTTGAGGACCAATTTACCAGCCCCAACGCCCCCAACCAGGCCCCAAACCTGCTCAGGACAGGCGATGAGGCAGTGAGGCGCAGCATGCACATGCGCACGCGCACAGGCCAGGCCAGAGCCAGAGCAACTCCGCGAGTTTGCTGTGTTCGGACTCTGGGCTAGATTACCCGGATGAAAAGTTCGTTTATTTCAGTGAAAATCATACACTGGTTTATCCTCTTCTCAGGAATAACAAAAACTTGAATAGGAAAACACAGTAACAATAACAACAGCAGAAACTGGCAAAACAATATAAAAGCAAACCTAAACCAAAAGTTCACTAGAGATAAAAATCCTTTTTGGGCTTCCCTGAGTCTTTCTTCTTGTCTTTTCTTGCTAATCAAAGAAAATGCAACAAAAGGCTTAGTACAGAAATCTGTTAGGTACATATGGCAAATCTGTGATAAAAATTCATGCTAGAAACTCAATATTTGTAGCTCAGACATCGTACGGGTTTTACTTTTCTTTCTATTAGTTTCATTTCTGGGGAAACCAAAGCAACAACCTAAAAACAATGAATAGTAGGGCTCCTGACAGCAAAGGAGGGTAGCCATGCAGAGATATTTCATTTCCTTCAATCATATGGATATTTCCAACTGACAGATGATGAGCATTAGTTCTCACATATATACTTAATGATAACATTGAAAGAAGTTACTTTCTTGCCTCAAATTTCTCAGATTTTGGGAAGCAGTGTTTTGCAAGATCCAGCGGTATTTTTGCCAGGAGACTTAAAGGGCATTCGTGTGCTGTCATTATTTGAGGAAAGAAAAGCAAAGAATTCAGGGGAAAGTTCAATACACTGATGTCATCTCTCCTGTCTTTTTTTTTTAACCTGACCTAAAGAAAAGCTATGCTTTCTCTTCTATAGTAAATTCGCAGCTTCATTTCTGGCAGGAATTATGTTGGCAACCATAAAGGATATAAAATTAAATAGATACAGGGAATGATAAAGTATTGTAAAATTCTAAGTAAAATCTTATTCATAAAATAACGATACATAAATACTACTATACCTTCCAGCAAACATAGTTTCTGCCTGAGCTGCAATTTCATCTATATCAGGAACAATAGCTGCAAAGACAAATGGTAAAATGGTAAAAAAAATCCATCCTTTATATTTTTATAATTAGGAGTCCCAATATTTATATTAATGTAGCATACTTTAAAATATTTTTGTCTTAATTTCTTTATGCCACCAAAAGTCAATTAACACTTTAAAAAGTCACAATACAGTGTCTCTTATTCACCAATATTTTAAATATTTAAATTTTAAATTTAACTCACCAATATTTTAAATTTTAAATTACATTTAAAAATCATTATACTCAAAGATACATTGAAAAGATCACATAAAACTATTTTCAAAGTTTCTTCATCTATATAAGCATATATATATATATATATAAAACTACATACACACATACCTATATATATACATATAATTTAAATGGATAATGATATGGAAAGATAATATTTTTTAAAGAATCACAATATACCTATAAGGAAACTTGTTACTACATGGTACTTCCAAACAATATGATCTTTTTACCTAAGCTTACTTTTGCAATTCCATACCTTCTTTTTGTGGGACAGAGTGCTTTTTTTTTTTTTTTAATATGAACCAGTCTTGATTCCTCACCCATCCCCACCACTAACATTTTGAAGATGTCTATGATAGGTACACAATTTATTTCTCATCTCCAAAGCACGAAAAGAAAAAGGAGCAAGATATAAAAAGGGAAAAGATTCTTCCCAGAAAGCTACCTCATACAAATACAACAGATTTAAGAGGTCAGATAAATCAAAGAAGACTGATTTTCTGGGGATGCCCCTAGACTTCCCCTCCCACTCTTTTACTGACAGAGCTCCTTTTTCCAGAAGTCTGGCTTCTGAGAGCCAATAATTGTTATGCTAGTGTCAATGCAAACGCCAGCAAGACTTTCTGGTTCTGCCTCCTCATTCCTGGAAATAGCCCCTTGGGGTTCTACACTTCTGGGAAGCATAAAAACAACACGCAAATGTGCCTGGGAGACTTCTAGCTCAGGAGAGCCGAACTCCACGTGTAGAGCACACTGCCTTGGATGGTACCCATGAGTCAGGGAGCAGGACTATTGGCTTAGCATCCACGTTAACTACGCTGACTTTCCATCAAACTGACTGATGCACAAAGAGGCTTCCTGATGTGATCACAGTGGTTGCAGTTCTCAAGAAGTTTCATATCTGTATAAAAATCCCACCCCAGCAAAAAAGTTCTGTGAACTGGCTAAATCATCAGTGATATAGATTCCATCTTCAATATGATATAGTTTCCAGCTTGTCATGGCTGGCCTGATCTAGTCAGAAAAAAAAAGTGGTGATTTATTATTTCTTAGGTTTCATAAGGTACTTTCTATAGTCACAACATTTTTACAATAATTTTTATGCTCTTATGTCATTATGCTCCTATACTCACAGAGAGAGTAGCTTCATTCTTATACACTTTCAATGTGAAAAACTGAAAAACAGTACCAATTTACAACTGTACAAGGTAATAAAGAACCAACACACATACATACACAGTAAAACCAACACCCACATCCAGACCTTTATGGGAATGCCATGTCTTTATTCTTGAGTTGGGTAACTCCTACAAAATACCTTTCTTCCTGATAGATGCATTTCACATGCTCTGTGATCAAGCCAAAAAAATAATCCCCTTGGATTTTCACCAAAACAGCATAATTCTTAAAAGATTCAGACCTGCAGTTGGAGAGACCTCAGAGAGAATCCCTTTTCCACTACTTCATAACTTTAAGCAAGTAACTTAACCACTCTAACCTTGGTCTTCTGATCAGTAAACTGGCACAATAAAGAGGACTCAAACTTGTGGAGTTGTGAAGATAACAAGAGAGACTGCATTCAAAGGACCGAGCACCAGCAGCAGCAAACATCCTCCCTGTCATTCTAGACTCGTTATTTAATTTCTGTCTCAGCTCCTTCATTTCATTGGTGGATATTATTTGGACATTTTTGTCTCATACAAATGCCTCTTGTCTTAAATCATAAAAAGGAACTTTGAAGTTCTCATGGAAACATCATCCAGAGAGTAAATATTGTCACAAAGGTAATACCTGATGGCAGCAGTGTATCAGGAGAGCCACTGGTGGACGTTTCAGCATTTCCATTGTTCTCCCCGAATTCCTTCTTATATATTGACAGCATATAGGAGATCCTATAATCTAGTCTGACACTCAAGATAAACTATAAGAAACATTAAAAACAACATAAGTTTCTTTCTTTCATCAGCATGGTGTTTAAAAATTCATTTCATTATAGGACAGCAAGAACAACGTAACTATCAACATGTCATGTGAACTACTTCAAAACTTTACTGGAAAACTCAACACTTCCATCACACACATGATAAACAGTCATAACACTAAGAACAGTGAGGCATTTGCAGGAGCCAATATCAGTAAAATCCCTCAACAGTTTTTGAAAAGAAGATGACTTGACTTCCCATGATCACTCTTGGAATATTCCAGGTGAGGGTATCCAGTAGATATGGATGAAGACATTATGATGACATAATTTCCTGAGCCCTGAGCAGAGTTTCCACTGGCTCCACAAGAACAGTGCTAGAGCTGAGACCCTCATTCACAACAGAAAGGCCAAGATTTTAGCTACAGAAGTGTGGATTCTGACTATAACAAAAGGAGTCTCGGATCGAGGCTTCAGAGGGGCCGCTTAAGTAACAGCCTCCGGTATACCAGGGATACGCCTCCCTGCTGCCTGGCTCTCTTTGGCTCTGTGCTGCTGTCCTTGTTCTCTTTAATGGATGTATTGACAGAGACTAAGTACCAATGAGGTTCCCATCTGTGCACAGCACTGAGAAGGATGCAAGTGCCTGGAGCCCAGGGTCCTCAAGAAGAGTCACTGAGTTGGAAAAACTAAATATATTTTGCCATAGTGTTGTTTGTTGGTGTTACTTGTTTTTTGCTTCACTGCACAGCATGTGGAATCTTAGTTCCCCGAGCAGGAATCAAACCCTCACCTCCGCAGTGGGAGCACGGAGTCTCAACTATAGGGCTGTCAGTCCCTGCTACAGCATTGTTAACATATTTAGGAAATGATTGAGGGCTACTCATGTGGTATAAAATATAATGGAGATCAAGAAGGAAAAGGTATATGTCGCTATCTGAGTGGAGATGGGAAACAACAGAGAGGCAGACTTACACAGGGCAACCTGCCATCCCGTTTGCCTGGGAGAGTCCTGGGACAGCCTTTGCTCCCAGTATAATTATTATCTGTGTCCCCTACACTCTCTTAAGAGATGCTCATTGGAACAGCAAACAATAACGGTCATGCGAGTTTCAGAAAACTGGGGGTTTGGTGGTACCCTCTAAACCTAGTTCTCACTATCTATGCCAGTGTCAGCAGTGTCAGACCCCCATCTCCCTCCTCCCACCCTCCTGCCCCTTCCTCTCTCTCTTTTGGTTCTTCTCCATCTGAACAGCACAGGCTGGAATGCCTGCAGCGTCTCTCTTACCTCCTCACATTTATCTTCATGGTTCACTTTACCTTGAATATTCTTCTCCTCTACCCCATAATTACTAGCTTTTGAGATATCCTCCAAGGTCCTGTTTGAATCCCTTTTGAAATGAAGCTTTCCCTGGTCCCGTAGTCCAAATCAATTTTTCTCCTTTTTGCTCACCCAACACATTATTTACAGCTACAGGTCCAAAGCTGAATGCCTCTCTCTCTTCCTTCTCCCTGTTGCTCTTCTGCTAGGCCTTTACGTTCCTCCTGGGTCACAGCCATGCTCCATGTCAGCTGTGTTCACTCAAGCTCCACAAACTTGTTCAGCCAGGTACTGAGGCAGGTACCAAGAGTGCGGAAAAGGTCCCAGGGATATAAAACCTGCCTCTGAACAGCATATAATCCAGAGAGTAAAGCAGACACCAAAGAAGCTCTTATTAGCATGCACTGAGCACCACTATCGCTATTAGTCGAGCTGATTCCAATTACGAAGGGGATTTTCAGAGCTGGAGACAGATCGCGGGAGGAGGGGGCTGAGGAAGGACCAGTGGGCTTGGGGAGCAGACTGGCAGGAGCAGAAGCTAGACTGCAGGTGCATAAAACGAAGAGTTGTTTTTTTAAGCGAATTTATTTCTCTGGTGGCTCAGACAGTTATCAATCTGCCTGCCAGGGTTTGATCCCTGGGTCGGGAAGATCCCCTGAAGAAGGAAATAGTAAACCTAACCCGATATTCTTGCCTGGAATATCCCAAGGACAGAGGAACCTGGCTGGTCCAGTCCATGGGGTCACCAAGAGTCAGACACGACTAAGCGACTAACACTTCACTTTCATGTAAAGAACAAAGTATGAAAACATAAATTAATGAAACACTCAGTGGCTTTTAGTTGATGATTAATATTCAAAGAATTATATTCTATAAATAGAGCCAAAATTCAAACTTCCATCTCTAATATAGTTCATTGTGAAAAATAATGGAAGGTAGAAGGGGAGGGGGAGAGGGAAGAATAAAAAGAAAGACAAAGAAAGAAGAGTTAACAAGGGCTGAAGACAGACAGAGGGAGAGGATGAGAGAGAAACAAAAAGACTTAAAGAAAATACCCACAATGATGGGGAAAGAAAGGAAGGGCTGGAGAGGAAGAGCAGTTGGCAAGAAAGCAGGAGACTTGCTCAAGGAACGTGGCTACAAAGAAATTCTTGAAGAGACAGTCTTAAAAAGAAACAGTCAAGAGGAGCACAGGGGAACGCAGACACAGGGAATCAGCGTCAGACACAGGCACACAAAAACCGGAGCAAGAACAGAGGTTCAACAAGAAATACAGAGAGGACCCAACTGCAGCAGCAAAAGCAAGCCAGTCCTGCTCTGCCCTGCCATGGTTTCGCCATCTCATCATTTTTTAGCTATAATGGACTGTTTTGTAGATGCAGAATATCTGTAACTGTTATTGGGCTAAAATGAGGACATGTATTTCAGAGGCTGTCCCATGAGGAGGATTAAGCTGGGAGCCCTCTAGGCCCACAGGTCAAGTGATCAACACCTTCCTTGGGTTAAGAACAGGACAACTGAGTGATTTCTCAGGGTAGTGAACAAGGGGTTGGGATGCCTGCCAATAATTTCTCGGGACTCAGCCTTTGGAATTCGTGGCGGAACTGTGAAACTTTTTATGATTATAAATCTAATTACTTTAAATAAAAATGTACAGATCCCTCCAGGACAACTAATCCAGTTCTGGTAGCTAGTCTACATTAAATTAGGATGAAAGACTTAGTAAACTGTAGCCAGAACTTTAATAGATCCTCAAAAACTCCAGGCTCCAATTTTCAAATATGGAATAAATGCTATAATTAAAGTATCATAAAACTACTTTCCAAACTTAAAAAAAATGCTAAGAATTCATAGCTATAATAATGGGATTTTATTTACTATCCCATACTAAACCACTGGTCACAAAATAGCAGTTTGCTCCTTTAACTTCATAGACAAAGGTATTAGACTAAGTTAGTTTTTAAATGTATATATTATTGCTCTTCCCTGGTGGTCTAGTGGTTAAGGATCCTCCTACAAATGCAGGGGACATGGGTTCAATCCCTGGTCCTGGAAGATTCCACATGCCGTGGGGCAACTCAGCCCATACACCACAACCACTGAAGCCCAAGAACGGCAATGAAGAGTAACCCCTATTCACTGCAACAGGAGAGAGTCCACACACGGCAACTAAGAGCCCACACAGCCAAAATTAAAAATAAGTACATAGATGAATAAACATATTTACATATATTATTCCTAGCGTTTTGGAAACAAAAACATCAAGACAGTCACTTACATAAAATGCTAAAAACAGTCATTTACTTTTAAGTTAATAAAAATAAAGTCTCTTACTACGATAAATCTGTATACATAGAATCAAATGTCCAATTTAGTTAAAAGTAAAAAAAGAGCTGGAATTCAATCTTAACTTCTGTGAAACCTACTGTGAAACCCTTCCTAAATTAAGGTAAAATTAAATCAAGGTCAATGTTAAATGACAAAATATATATTAAAGAAGTTATGTCAACCTCAAAGCACTCCATATTTGTTAGGTATCATCATTAAACTATTTAATGGGCATGCACACATGTAATTAATATGTTAAATAGTGTCAGTGTGAGATTTCTTCCCAGGCTTATCATTATCTTAAATGAAATAAAATTAGATCAACGGCATTTCAGAATATTTACACAGTGATCTGGAACAAAAAGTTAAGACATGAAACCAATAGGCACAGGCAGGCGCTTGTTGCTTCCCCCCTATTCGGCCCTCACCTGTAAAATCTCAATGATCTTCAGCTTGGTGTCCATGACGGTGACGTCCTCATGATCAGTGGGGCTCCCCTGTTTGCTGGGGTGCAGGCTGGGCTGAATGTCAGGCACACTCATGGGGAAGATAGAGCCTCTGCTGAGCACCATCTGGGTCATCATCTCTCCCACCCCATGGATGGTTCTCATGACATTGTTTCCTGGCACAAGAAAAGTCCCCAAGTCAACACACATGCCACCTTGGGAGACAGCTGTTATATCCGCTGGCCGCAGCCAGACTAAAAATGTGGCAGGAAGAGCACTAAGGATGAGAAAGAAGAGCATCAGCCCTGCTCCGGCTCTTTCCTTGCAGATCAAGTTAAAATACTGCAGACACATTTCAGAAAGACAGATTTTAGAAATACAAGTTTACTTTTCTCGGAAAATGCTTTCAAATGACACACGGCAGGTGAGTTGTTGATGGCTCTAACAATATCCAAAGCAGGTCCTTCTGGAACATAGGAAGTCCTAGCATCCATCACACTAAGAGACACTAACTCTTACAGTCACAAGGAAGAAAGGTTATCAATCTCTACCATAAAGTACGTTGCAAGTGAGGATACAAAGACTACAGGAAAACACTTAAATGGTGACTAGTGTCCTAATCCTACCTTCAAGCCTAGGACCTTTTAGCTTGGCTTTCATAATGCTTGTGAAAAAAGCTTGGGAGTAGGATTTTTACAGCTTCATTTTACTCTTTTCTAGAGAAGAAGCACATTTTATCCATTTCTTCATCAATTTGAATTTAAAAATCATAATTCAAAATCCACAAAAAGCTATTGTGTTTGAGACAATTACAGAAACAAATTACTAATCATCATTTCTGATAAGGCATCCTGCCTCTCCTGCATCTTGAGTTTGGCTCCTCATTTCATTTGTCCTCCAATAAAACTGGCCACAGGCTTCCCTGGTGGCTGAGTGGGAAAGAATCTGCCTGTTAACGCAGGAGGTGTGGGCTCAGTCCCTCGATTGGGAAGATCCAGTGGAGAGGGGAATGGCAACTCACTCCAGTCTTCTTGCTGGAGAATCCCATGGACAGAGGTGCCTGGCGGGCTGCAGTCCATGGAGTCGCAAAAGAGTCAGACATGACTGAATGACTGAACACGAAGCACGCACAAAACTGCCCACACACTCATTCCTCACGTTGACCACAAGCAGCTGTACCAGAGGATCCTCCTGTCACTGCTATGATTTACCCTCTCCTCTGCTATTTCTCACTTCTAAATCCCTACGACAAGAAATGAGGATTTGAAAGAACAACTCTCTACTTTCTTTTCTGAACAGTGGTCTTTGCTTCGTGGGTGTTCATGGAGCTTTGCCTCAAGCAAAGACCTAAGAATCTGGCAAAGAATGTTCCTTTCCCCAAGTGTCTCAGGGTATAAACCAAGAGAAAGGGAAATGGAAATAAGATGGGATGAGATTAAATCCTCAGCTCCAAGCAAAGACCATAAACTGTGGGAATACCTACAGGATTGAAAGGCAAACAAATAAAGAAAAGGAAAATATTTAAAGGATGACTCAAGAGAAGCTTCATGGTCCTGTTCACAGACCACAATTACCATCAAGCCAATGGTAACTGATATTATTTGTATACTGAAAGGTGAAATGCCTTTTAAAACTCATTATCTTATCCACAGATTAAATCAGTATACATAAAAGAAGATGGTACTGAAATAATACATTTTTGAGAATGCAATGAAGGAATATCTTTTTCTAGAGTGGCATCTTCCAGGCAGAAATTAATTAGGGTTTTCATTCTGAGAGTCTAGGACCTTTCATTACACTGCTGCTAGCATAAACCCAAAAACAGGGATAAGAAAAAATATATGAAAGATAATTTCCAAGTTTGGACAAGCTTGAGACAAAGGATTTGAGACAGCCTCATTTTCTATCAGAAAAACCTCAAGGCAGAATGCTTCATTGTCTGTGGTTCCCAAATAATCATAACAACTGAGCATTCCTACATCTCCCCACCAACTTCAGGCATGGGATCTGGTTGCTGGCAACAGTTTCGGATCATCAATGTTCAACCAGTACATTTATCTGAGGCTTGATTCCAGTATGTATATGTAGTAGCCTCCAAATGATGCTTGCTTACCACCAACACAAAACAGGCTCTTCTGTTATTCTTACCCTTGATTCACACAAAAATCCTAGGCACCCACATTGTCTGCACCTTATTTAGATTTGCAAGGAAAATAACCAATTAATCCAAATGACTGTTACACACAAAACATTTGCCCAGACAATTCTTACCCCCCCAAATATAGATCTTGTCATCAAGCAATTAAAATCTTGAAGCCAGTTCTGTCATAATAGATAACACATGCTGTCAATGAAATGGGAGGGCTCATCCCAGTGGCAACACATCATTAGATGCCTGTGGCACTTGGTGGCCACAAAACTCTCCTAACATCTCTGTGTATGGCCAATGCTGAGTTTGCAAATTAAAAGATGCTATGTCTTCCAGAGTTTCTGGGTGGTGATGAGAAGTGCTTCAATTATGAACTACTACAGCTTGGAAAACATAAATCAAACACCACATAAATCACAGACAAGCAAGGCTCCTTTTTTCCCGCAGAAAATTTTTTTAATTCTAAGACTGTTGAGATAACTCAGAGGTGATTGAAAGTGAAAATCACTCAGTCGTGTTCAACTCTCTGATCCTGATAATTACAGATCCCCTTATCCAGGGGATCTTCCCAATCCAGGGATTGAACCCAGGTCTCCAACATTGAAAGCGGATTCTTTCCCATCTGAGCCACCAGAGATGCCCAAGAATACTGGAGTAGGTAGGCTATCCCTTCTCCAGGGGATCCTCCCAACCCAGGAATCAAACCAGGGTCTCCTGCATTGCAGGTGGATTCTTTATCAGCTGAGCTACCAGAGAAGCCAGAGGTGATTAGTCTTCAACAATGCAAAAAAAGAAATCTTAGGATGTCTCTTCTCAACCATGATTAGTTAATACTACTGAAAAGCTTTCAGTGAAAAGGCTACTATACTATAATATAAATGCTCTGGATAAATTCAGGTTTTCGATGTCCTTTATATTAACCCAGAAGCTAGAATTTGGATTTATATACAAAGTGTATTGAGATGGTTTGAAAAAGGGAGTCACCTTTGTTGCGTAAAACTACAAAGGAAGGAATTTCTTAGAAACAAAAGCAGACAGACTTTACAGGTTCTTTCATTATATGATTGTGTAGGTATTTTGGGGCTTCCCAGGTGGTGCTAGTGGTAAAGAACTTGCCTGCCAGCTAATGCAGGAGACATAGAGACGCAGGTCTGATCCCTGGGTGGGGAAGATCCCCTGGGGGAGGTCATGGCAATCCACTCCAGTATTGCCTGTAGAATCCTATAGACAGAGGAGCCTGGCAGGCTACAAATGCATAGGGTTGCACAGAGTCGGACACGACTGAAGCAACTTAGCATGCATGCTAATCCTAATGCCTCAAGAGAATACCCCCCAAAGCAAGACAAATACAGTAAATGCATACTAGAAATGGTGACTGGAAATGGGTTGAGAGTTCATTGCTTTGTTTCTTTGATGGTTTTCATGAGTCAAGTTTCCATTACCAATTCCAGAGATAAACTAAAACTGTGCTGACCATAATTGAATTTTTCCTTATTCCAAAGTCACTTTATTACTGGCCACGCTATGGGATTCAACAATCTTTAACACTTTTGCGGATTTACAGAGAGTGTAAGGGATTTAGCAGAATCTTACTTGACTGATGGAAATTTACTGTAGTCCCCTGGTGTTTTATTTAAAGTCATTCTTTACCCGCTATCTCTTTCTGTTAGAAATACTTTTCTCTGGGGACTTCCCTGGTGGTCTAGTGGTTAAGAGTCCACCTTGCAATACAGGGGATGCATGTTCAATTGCTAGTTGGAGAACTAAGATCTCACATGCTGCAGAACAACTAAGCTCCAGCGTCACAACTACTGAGCCCACATGTCACAACTAGAGAGTCCGTGCACCTCAACAAAAGATCCCACATGATGCAAGGAAGATTCCCTATGCCACAACTAAGACTTGACATAGTCAAATTAACAAATAAATACTTTTCCAATAAGAAATACTTCCCACCTATGAACACAAAAGAATAAAACTGATCATCTGAGTTTTCTAGCTGTTCAGGTTTCAGATAGACATTTCTGAAATCTTCTAAGCATTTATAAGAGAAATAGATATATTTGATAAGAGTTCTGTGAATAACTGCTCACAGCAATTTTCTTGTTTTGTGCCTACCAAAGACAACTCTCAATGCTTTAGAGTAATGGAAGCCAAAAAATGGATAATATCGAAACCAATCTTATTTCCCTGAAACATATTTTTATAGTTGGACTTGGAAAAATACATCTGCTGTTTTCATAATTCATTTGAAACAGAATGATGTTAAACCATAAAGACATGTTTCAGGACATCTTCCTACTTCCCCTCCCTGCTTAGCAGCTCCTTATAAACCTCCTCTTGCTGGAAAACGCCTACACTCCCTAGAACTAGAGCAGTTTTCTATTTTGATCATTCCCTGGAGAAGTGCTTCCTCCCAGTGGTTAGGGTCTGGGTTCTAAAAGGACTTTTCTGTATGCATACACACACACAAAAAGCATTAACACAAGATCAAAACCTTAGTTAAGATAGTGGTATAATCAGAGTAACAGGGAACATGGTATCAATCTAAATTAAAAGAAAGATTAAGATTTAGCATCCCAGTAGACAAGTAAGTAACCAGCACTCCCAGTGCAAAGTCAGATAAGAATAAGAGCTACATATAAAGTCCACATAGGTTTTTTTTTTAATTGCTCAATGATAGTTTTAAAATTTATTTTATTAAAGTATAATTGAAACTTACAATGCTGTATTAGTTTCCAGAGTACAGCAAAGTGATTCAGTTATACATAAATATATATATTATTTTTCATATTCTTTTCCATTTATCATTTATTATAGGATATTGAATATAGTTCCCAGGGCTATACAGTAGGACCTTGTTGTTTATCCATTTTATAAATAATGGTTTGTATCTACTAATCCCATCCCTTCCTTATCCCCTCTTCTCCTTGGCAATCGCAAGTCTGTTCTCTATGTGTCTATTTTCTTGTAGATAATTATAGATAAATTCATTTGTGTCATATTTTAGACTCCACACGTAAGTGA